TATAACACACACACACACACACACACACATATATATATATATATATATATATATATATATATATTTATGGTGTATTGGCATGACGTACTGGTATACATATGACACATGTATCAATTGTGTGTAGCATGTAGATATGCGTGGTTGGTTTAGCGTGTGCGATATATCCGTGTCTTGGGACTCCGGGCTATTCAGAATAACGTACTCAAGTACAGTGCCAAAGTACACTTCCTCAAAGCCGGAATATCCTCCGTCTGTAGCAGCGTATGTGTTTTAGGGTTCTAGGGTAGTTGCATTCCTGCCTATATTGGTATGAGCGTACCTGTATATACATGTACCTGTCAGCTGGGGATATATGTGGCTGATTCAGCATGCGTATGCGAACAAGATCAATCCATACGCGTATACACACAGAGAGCACCTTCGTCAGGATAATATACATATTCACTTTGGAATGAATTTCATTAGTAACTTGTCGGGCTAATATGTACATTCACTTTGGAACGAATTTCATTAATAATGTTGAATGCTACTTGTGCCTGTATGTATTCATATGTATTCATAGAACGTGATCAATCCACACGCGGATATACACAGACAGCACCTTTTTCAGGCTAGTATGTATATTCACTCGAGTTTCATTAGTAGTGTGTATGTGCATGCATGTGTATACCACCTATGCCTGTATGTATCCGTAGTACGGCAACAATCTAATCGCGTATATACACAGAGAACACCTTCGTCAGGTTGATATATATATATTCACTTTGGCGCGAGTTTCATTTGTCGTGTGTATGTGCATGTATGTGTATACCACCTATGTCTGTATGTATCCGTAGTACGGCAACAATCTAATCGCGTATATACACAGAGAACACCTTCGTCAGGTTGATATATATATATTCACTTTGGCGCGAGTTTCATTTGTAGTGTGTATGTGCATGTATGTGTATACCACCTATGTCTGTATGTATCCATAGTACGGCAACAATCTAATCGCGTATATACATAGGGAGCACCTTCGTCAGGCTGATGTGTACATTCACTTTTACGCGAGTTTCATCAATGGTGTGTATGTACATGCATGTGTATACCATCTATGTCTGTGCGTATCCGTAATACGACAACAATCTAATCGAGTATATACACAGAGAAGACCTTCGTTAGGTTGATATATATATATTCACTTTGGCGCGAGTTTCATTAGTAGTGTATATGTGCGTGCATGTGGATACCACCCAGTCTGCATGTATCCATAGCCGGGCGTACTCCTGCGTACTGTGAGTTTGAGGCGTAGCAGCCCATTGTTCAATGCATAATCCCTATCTCGCTTGCTTGATAAACCCTTAACCTTAAGAAAAACCCTAAAACGCTAGAACGCTAAAACCCTTAAAGCCCTATATATATATAAATACATCTGTTTGTACTTGTATAGCAGTCTCGCTAAGACAGCTCCAAACTCCTCTCTCATCCACGGGCCTCAGAAGTAGCTGACTAAGTTCGAAGGTGCTTGCAGAGGTCCACTCTATAGCACACTTGATTTCCTTCCCCAAAGTCGGAATTAACGGTCTGAAAACGTTGTCTACCACAACTTGTCTGATTACCACGTGTACACACATACATACATTCATACATGTATATATATATATATATATATATGCTGGGTCACTGTATCCAACGACCTATATTAAGAATATACCTACCTGTTTGCTCTGTGCAGGATACACTCACTGCCCGCCGTAACGCCGAGAGATATATCGATGCCTTTCCGAGCTTTGGCGATACTAGAGAGTGCAAATTCTTGCTGGTATGTTTTGTATTTTTATCACTTCTTGTTTCTACTATTCCAACTGTATATTCTCCTAACTCTGCGAGACGGGAGAGTGTATACTGTTGCTGGTGTAGCGAGTATCACTCCCCCTGGTTTATTTATAATTGCTATTCTCTGTAGTTTTTTCTGTTTATCCGCGTCCACTGTTGTGGCCACACACATTTTACTAGCCCTCTTACAAGTTACATATCGAGATGTATGTCCACTGTTCACTCAAACGGATTCCGGGCGTTCCTCTCGTTCGCAGAGAGCTATGTGTTGTGTGTCCGCATATACGCTTTCAAACCAATCCTAGCTGTGGTAACACATACTACCAGGTGCTTCTGATGTCTTGCGTACCATCACATGTGTTCAGTCATTTTAATTACGCTTTCAGTGCTCTTCTCAGCTGTGGTAACGTATCATGCGTGCTTCTGTCTTTGCGTCTCAATATTGACACATAACAACACTCATGACCATATATATATATATATATATATACATATATATATATATATATGTGTGTGTGTATGTGAATGTGTGTATGTGAATGTGTGTACGGGTGTGTGTGTGTGTGTGTGTGTGTGTAGTTGCATTATCATTATCGGATAATCCTCGTACCGTGTTCTGCATCTTCGTACCGTGTTCTGCATCCTCGTACCGTGTTCTGCATATTCGTACCGTGTTCTGCATCCTCGTACCGTGTTCTGCTAGCTACTCTCCAAATCCCGCGTAGAATTCGATTTCAAATCGCCCATACAGTTCCGATCACAGTGCTCACCCACCCCAATACCGATTCCAATTTTAATTCCACTTCCAATTTTAAATACAATTCCATTTTTAATTACAATTCCAGTTTTAATTACAATTCTAATTCCGAATATAAATAGGATCTGATCACAGCTGTGGAGGAAGAAGACCCAGACGACTACTCCTCAAAGGTTGCAGAATACGACAACATGACCCGTCTCGATCCTTGGATGACAAATTTGCTACTGCGTATTAAGAAAACACTCACCGAGGAAGAGAGTCTCACGTAATCTATTTATAGAGTTGAATTGGATTGGACCGGATCGGATCAGAATTCTGCAAATTTGGGTCATGTAATTTAGGTGCAAGGTAAAGAAGTCTGGGAGTGTGAAATAAAACAGTATATATATATACATACAGACATAGGTTTTTTTAAATTTTTTGATGGTGTGTGCTTCTTGGCTATACATAGAGTGAGTAGTCAATGTGCCACGCATGATATCTATCTTTGCTACCGTTGAAACAGCACGGGCATCTATAACAAGATCTACACGGATGTGTATGTAGGTATGTGTATGTATGTATGAGACGGTCCTTAATATCATTTTTTATCATATACTTCGTCACATAATACTTTGAAATTCTAAAAGGTATAAGTGCCAAAGTTCAAGGGTATATACAGTAGAATAATATCACCTGACCTTCGGGTTTGGTAGTGTAAACATACATACATCATAGAAATACCCACTCCTCAACAATGCCCAGATCACTCGATCGGCGATTTCAGATTTTGTATGTCAACCGCTGTCACAAATGAGTCATCCTTTGGCTGTGCGCGAGATACTCTCGACTATGCATACACAATCCATACTACAACACTAAATGTCGGGGTAGATTTTCCCGCTATCAGGTACTTGGTGGAAGATTTCCCCGTAGCTCTCTCTCTAGTTCATTCATTCCCTATCGCCCATAGAAGTAAGGTACGGCAGTCGTCGTATCAAAACACAATAATTGCTATTCTAGCATTCTTGCAAACTCAGACGTCAGTATGTGTAGTTGAGGATATATATAAAATATGTTCGGTACTTTATATTCACACGTTCTGTACTGCGCCAATTCGCTCAATTACGCTCAGATAGGTTGTGATCCCTGCGCTCTGCACGCTCCTTCTCTTGCTTACACGTAGCTTGTGGCAGTAGAAGCGGCCGCATGTATGCGTCGTTAACGGCAAACTATGTGTACGTACCTTTTCAGGACAACCCCGAATAACCATAGCTGGAAATAAGGTTTCATATTGGGGTTAGGGTTTAGGGTTTAGTGATTAAAGCTTAGCTTATGGCACTTATCACAACCGCACACAACCTCTATCGATACTTTCGTACACTCACAGTCACCCGCGATCGTATTCAGTCGAAGTCAATCTGCCATCAATTTCACCCTTGGCTTTTACTCCTGATGTTCTCCTGCTATATCTAACCAGATGTATGTTCTCTGTTAAAAAAAAATGACTTTCATACCGACGTTCTCTTGATATTTATATTTAGACGTATGCATCTGTTAATAATAATGACTTAAATCGTGACGCTCTCTTTTTATGTCTAACCAGGTGTACATCCGCTCTCAGAAGCATTGTTTTTCATCTTGACGTTCTCCTTTCATATCTAACCAAGTGTATGTCCTCTATTTGTAATACTGACTTTCATACCGATGCTCTCTTGTTATGTCCTAACGAGGTTTTATCACTTGTTAGTAATACTGACTTCCATCCTGAGGTTTTCTTGTTATGTCTAACCATGTGCAGATCATATGTTAGTAATAGTGACTTCAACCATGACATTCCTTGTTATGTCTATAAATCAGGTGTATATCGTCTGCTAGTAATTCTGACTTTAATCCTGACGTTCTCTTGTTTAATATGTCTAACATTGTTTTAATTGTGTCTTTCTCTTGTTTTGTCTTTCCAGATTTGTATCCTCTGCTAATGACATTACTTTGATCCCGACGTTCTCCTGCCATATTTAGGCAGGTGTAAGACCTCTGTTAGTAATACTGACTTGATACATACCGACATTCTCTTGTTGTGTCTGACAAAGTTTTTATACTCTGTTAGTAATACTGACTTACATCCTGATATCATTGTTTTATGTTTAACCAGGTGTATATCTACTGTTAGCATTATCCTAGCGTTATCTTGCTATGTCTATCCAGGTGCATATTCTTTGTTAGTTGTCTCACTTTCATCCCAAGTTTCTCTTGTTATGTCTACCATGTGTATATCCTCTGTTAGCAGTACTGACCTCAATCCTGACTTTTCTTATGTTTAGCCAGGTGTATATCCTCTGATAGAAATTCTGACTTTAATTCTGACGTTCTTGTTCTGTCTTACCAGGTGTATGTTTTCTGTTAGTAATAGTGTATTCAATCCCGACGTTCGCTTGTTATGTTTAACCAGATGTATATCCTCTGTTAGTAATATTGATTTTGATCTTGACGTTATCTTGTTCCCTCGTTGTATCGAATCAGGTGTATATTTTCTAATCCTAAAACAGTTTTGTCATTTATCCTGACATTGCTAGTTAAATCTCCACTCGTCAAAGTCGCCGTTCTCGCGTTCCTCGGCATCGTAGTATGGTGTGATACCCGCCCGCAATTCATCCCACCCACTTTCGCCGCCCACCTCCATGTATAGGTCATCGGGCGCACCCTTTTCATTATAAACACTCCCAGACCTCTCGATTAACGCTGATAACTCCTGAAAATCCTTGGCATTTTCTGCACCTTGGCCCGTGAGGTCAAATCCATACACGCGCGCGCCTACAAACCTCATTGTTAGAAGAACAGGGAGCATCGGGTTGAACTTGAAATCACGATTTTTCGCACTATACTTCTCGTGTGCATCGCTCTTCTCAAAGGCATACGGAATCATACCCAGCGCTAATTTCAGGAACCCATCCCAGCCCCAATTCTGACCCAAATCGGGAATAACACCGTGCTTCACAGCCAATTTGCAGAAAAGCAGGAAATCATCGGATACAGTCCTCCCTGTATGTGCCGGGTCGTACACACCCCTAAGCTCGCCTCCATATACATACGAATCATCCACACGCAGTCGGTAGCAGTCTATCAGCCAATCCCATGCTTGTTGTCTGTACGAGATACATAAATAGGTGGACTTGATTAAGTGCAACATTAATACATCGGCGTATACATATACATATAC